TTTCCCTCTTCAAAGTCTTGCAAAACCTGCGTCCGAGAGCAAATTTGACGAATTCCCTTGCTTGAGCTTTATTTTAATTTGTGGGTCCTCACTGTGTTATAGTATTCGAGGGCTAGGGTTTTGGGGAAGACATCAAGTCTTTTTGGAGGCCTTAAGAAGTCGTTTTTGACTTAGCAAACCGCAGTCTACTCTAGGAACCTCATGCTCGCGCTATGGCAGTCAGGTTAGCTCCGTACACATGCAACGATTGAAGGAGACTTAAAATTTACATATTGAGAGACTTTAGTAAATGCGTCTTCCTGTCTGTTGCCGTAACAGCGGAACTAAAATAAACCGTTCAATTATATTAAGTGAACGTACCTGTTAGCATCATAAGAAACGTTTTAAGTTAATGTATCCTTGAAAATAAGCCCATCACTGGCATATTACCATTTGGGGAAAGAAAATCCTTGGAAAAGAGATTGCCTCCACACTCATTAATTCGTCATCCGGAGACCATTGAAAATAAGTCTATCTAAGTCACCTTTCGACGGACTAACAGAATGCATCATTGATGCTGCGTACCTTCGGTGGGCATAGGCACTCCCACCGGCTTTTAGTAAATGGACGCTCAGAGCCCGTAGAACCGTCATACATTAGGATCATTACAACATCTTAGAAGAAGCTCAATGACAGGCTCCTTATTCTAAATGGTGTATCGTTAAGAATCTTGAATCCTCTGACATTCTCAACAAATTATGCATGCACTGGACATTTATTCTATAATAAATGCCACTTCAGAATGAGTTCAAATTTCAGCTCCAGCGGAAAAATTACCTAATTTCTACAAAAGTATCATAGTACATGATAGTATCTAATGGTCCACTTTCGTTCCATGCCAGCAACACAGATTCTCCGATTTGTGTTTTAGCATGGTGCACCTGCATATATTCAATAAAATGAGCGCCCTACTATTGAGCTAGTAGCCTTCTTGACGCAGGCTTAAGCACCGATCGCCTTACAACACCTACTCACTACAGATATGTCCTTGTTGTTCCAAGTAATTCGCGGTAGCTAAAAATATGTGCAGTCAGTAGAAAATGCTCACTATCTGGATAAGCTTGGGACAACTCAACCTGCGTGGCCATCCCACAAGGTCACAAACGAACGCACTCGATTAGACCTCCGAAAATATTTCTTCAGCCAGCGCATGGTCCGACCTTGGAACTTGCTACCAAGCGAGACTATACGTGGCTGGGCTTATTAGCCGTGGGCTTAATAACCGGCGACTACTGTACATATACATTATCTAACAAAATAATAAATCACTGTTAATGTTCCCTGTGAGTCAGCACGGGAGGAATGCAGATCACTGAGGGTCATCATAACCGGTTGAACGTAATTACGTTTGGGAGGAAAACGATATTTTTCAATAATTATGAAATCAAGTTTCCTTTAAAACACAAATATGATGTTGTATGTCACTAGGTAATTTTTACTGTGTTCTATAATCGGGCTACCCGTTAACTAATGAAAAACGGTTTGCGATATGGTCGTGCGGATAGCCTTTGACTTTATAAAAATGAGTGCGCAGATTATTATTTACTTATAACCAGTTTACAGAAAAGGTATGCTCCGAGTTGAACAAGGTATGGTGACCCTGAATAACCTGGAATGTTCAAAGTGGAATTCATCTGAGTTGCCTGTAGGAAAGAAATTTCTATCTACCTGTTGCGATTTATCATGAAGTGCACTCTTACTTGTTTAGTTAGAAACTCACTTAAATTATAAAAATTCAACTTTCTAATTTGTTGAAAAATCCACGGATATTATCCCCTCCAGTGATTACCATCGCTGTTTTCAACTGCTCCTTCTAATTTCCACCCTATGCGAACTGTTGACAATCGGGGAGTGCTCCTGTGTTACGCCACTCTGCTGGTATTTTGTCGGGTCAGCAAAGCAGTACCATGGTACCACCTACTGATGCTCGATGATCCTCGTGGCGTTTGATGTCCTCACCCCATTTCGACTTCTTACAGACTATGGCCGATCACGGTGGTTTTCCCTTGTCTCGCCGCTTCGATGGGTGTTTCTGTTGCAATTCAATAAGAATTATATGCACATATACCACGAATAGACTGCAACCGACGGATAACTGACTGCAAGACTATGAACTTAATACTTTCACATAAATGCAGAAAGTGGCACTTTATTTGCAATATCGCAAAGCGGCCGTATGTCACGCTAAACGTTATGGAGCGACTACTTTATATTCATTTCTTAAGACGGATCCAGTTAGGACCGACGTGTTGAAAGCCCTGTAGCGATCCCTTATTCTTAGCCATGTTTTCCTCGGACGCCGCGGGGACAGGTCATGTCTGGCGCGACCACCACGCGGACGCAAGACACGACAGTCAAAGCCTCCGTTCAAGGTCATTCCCTGTCTGGCTTTTTCAAGGTCGGGAGCCTACTGTGAGGGAGTTGTTTACGCTCAGTCACTCCCGGAACCGACGATCTACTGTTCGGTTGCAGACGTCCGGACTCGGTGATGTACTTGCCGGGCTGCGCCTCTGGACGCCGGCCCATCCATGGCTGGACTGCACTTGCCTGGAAGTCACTTGCATGTTACTTACATTCTACGCTTGTTCCACCTTAGTAAATTCTCCCTGACACTATGGCCTTCCATGCCTTATCATATTCACTAGCTTATAAATGTTGGGATACGTTCAATCACCTATTATCTGGCCGGACCATATCGTATCCTACAGCCCCAACTAGGCCTCGCCGACTGTCCCTGTCGAAGGCCCAGTAAATAGACGTGACCTTCTCGAAAAGTCTATGCACGCATTTCACTGTTTTTAACCATTGCAAAAGGAAATCCTTAGCCATTTAACCGTTTCGAGTATCTCAGTTGCAGTGATGACATCACTGTAAGAATTCTATCCAATTATGGTTGAAGGCACTCGGTCAACTGCAAACAGCGTGGCGCGTTGCAGTCTGGTAATAAGGAAGGCAGAATCTGTATGAGTCTGTAGCTGACTCCTCTTGTCTGTCAGTAAACTTCCCCCCATTTTGGTCTAAGCACCCGCTTTCCTTGCCTTAGTCTTACAAGTCACTTTTTTCACACATACACCCACACAAAAACAGTAACAAGATATCAACAGACAGAAGAACGCGCGTAAGATTCAGTCAGTTGCACATACTGGCATCAGACGCAACCGCCTTTTCAAAGCAATTGGAGAAATCGTCCATCAGCAGTTCCGTCTCCTGCAAACTGATGGTGTCGGAGTCGCGTCCGGGCAGTCGCTGTGCTGACAGATCCAATTCCGGTGTCGAGACGTCCTCAGGGTGGGATGGAAGTTTTAATGACTCCCTCGAGCGGGACTGACCTTCGCCGTCGGGATGCTGTTTGTCTGTCCGGGCGACACTCAGATTACCCAAAGAGGAGGACAGGGACCGCGAAAGACGGTGGCGTCGATAAGACCGTTTGCTAAACAGTCCCTGTTGCTGGTAGTATTCATAGAAGGTTAGCGCTAGATTACGTCCCAGA